ATGGAGAGATAGAGAAAGAGAGAGAGGGAGGGGTGGGATGAGGGAGGGAAAGAGGGGAAGAGGCGAAGGGAAAGAGAGTGAGAGAGAGAAAGAGAGAGAGAGAGGGAGGGGAGAGAGGGAGAAAGAGAGAGAGAGAGAGAGAGAGAGAGAGAGAGAGAGAGAGAGAGAGAGAGAGAGAGATGAAGGGACTGTAAATAGCTTGACAGACAGATATAAAGACCAATATAAATGATTATGCGAAGAGGTCGCCGAAGCGAGATGTCCCCCCCACTCAGCCTCCCCTCCCTTGAGCCCTCCGCCGAGCCCGCACTGCCCCGGCGGCCTCCTCAAAGGGCACCCCACACGAACGCCGTCGCCACTTACTCAGTTTCGTTGTTCTCGAAGACGAGTTCGCCTTCGCACTCCTCGTAGTCCTTGCCGGCCTTGGCTGTGCCATCCTCGGTCTTGTAGGGCACGGAGACGCGGCCGCGAGCGCCCGACCAGCGCACGATCTTCAGTTCGTAAGTTCCGATAGATTCAACGATCTCCACATCCTTCTCGCCGACGTTGAAGATGCCGCCGTGGTCGTCGTCCAGGATCATGATCGTGGCGACGTACGGGGCGCTCAGCTCCATTTTGACGGGCTTGTTGGGCTGGCCTGCGGCGCCGTTGACGGCGTGGGTCACGGCGGTGCCGTCAGGGGAGCCGAGGCGCATGTTCGAAAGTCGCACATAGAAGTGTTCATCTTCCTCGAAAACTTCGTCGTCGATAACCTCCAGGTTAAAGGTCTTCTGGGTCTCACCGGGCAGGAACACCAGCGTGCCCTCGGCGCCCACGTAATCACCTCCGGCGTTGGCGGTGCCGTCCTCGGTCTTGTAGTCCACGAGGACGGTGGTGTTCAGGTCACCGCCCTCCCGCACCACCGTCACCTGGAAGGTGCCCACGTTCTCCATGACGGTGTAATGGCCGGGGTCGAAGAACACGCGGATGGTGTCGTCGTCCTTCTTCTCCTCGACCTCCTCCTCCTTCTCTTGCTTGGCCTCCTCGCGAACCTTCTTCATGATGTTGCCG